CAGATAAGACCAAATTTATATGGGCTTTTCCCCCCTTAACCAAAGCAGTGATATTTTTTTTTTTCAGAGTAGTATTTTTCAGTCCTTTTTGTGCAAAAAAGTATGAACAAGAGCAATTCAAATAGAAATGCTGAAATGGCATGCCAACATTTCAGGGCACATTTAAAAACACTCAGTATAATTCTTGAAATTATTGTATTCTAGTATATTACTACCAGTCACTTTTAGGTTTGTACATTTACTCACATTGAAGCAATTTCCCTAGCCCTCTGAAAATAAGCAGGCTCATTGGTCTCTTTTGGTGCTCAGAAAAGGAATTCTTTTTAATAATTCATCATTAATAAAGAATCCTTAATTATTTTTTTAAATAGGGGGTCTACTAGCCATTTTCTATATTGGTAGTACTCAGGAATCAGAGAACTGTAGCACACTTGAACTGGAAGGAACATCCAGCTATGCTCAACTTTTTTCACAAAACTGTCTCAATGTTGACCATACCATATACCATTTGTTCTTGAATCTACTAACAATTTTAATTTCAATCTAATTGCATTTTTAAACCTAAATGTTTCCTTTAGTTTTGTCCTAAACAACAAGACTTGTCAAATCAGGAGATGAGTAAGCTGAAGTCATGTTACATTTCTATTTCACACTAGAATAAACATGTAACTGTTAAAACTAAAAATGTGAATTGTGCATCACCTAACATCATCTTGTAAGCTTTCTTTGTTTCCTTTGGGATACACGGATTTCATTTGAGTTCCTTGTTTCATGTAGTGTGATATCTATTATTGAAATTATATATGCATGGTTGCCTGGTGGCAAAAAGCTGTGCTGCAATCCCAAAGGTACACAGTTCAAGGCCACTAGCTGCTCCGTGAGATAAGAATAGGTAATTTCTTCTGTATGATTGCTGCCTCTGAAAAACCTGCTAGAGGGTCAGCTATGGGTTGGTTCCAATGCTGTGATACACAACAACAACAACAACAATGCATGGATATATGCATTTGGTACATATATACATAGAGGGAAATACTAAAAGGAAATAAAATGCTAACTAGGATCTTGAAAGATTGTAGATGCTTTGGAGCTCCTTTTTTTTTAAAAACTGTTTGGCATTGCCCAGTTTTCTGCACTAAGTATGCCCTACCATCCATTCATCCATTCCACGTTTATTAAGCAACTACTATGTGACAAGTACTATACAAAATGTGAGAGATAAAAGGCAAACGAAGTTTAGTTACTGCCTTCACAAAGCAGTCACATGTGGTCAAAGAGCTGCAGAAAAAGACTAAGAAGCAATGTGGTGAGAAATAGAACCAGAATGAGCCTTAGATGGGAGGATGACAAAACTTGGGCTTGTTTACTTCAAACACATTAGATAAGACATCTTTTTGGTAGAGTAGAGTAGTGTGATAAACACGGGAAACATTTGTGGGACTGACTGACACATTTGCAATAACAATGGGCTTAAACATATCAATGATCAGAGTAGTGTGATAAACACGGGAAACATTTGTGGGACTGACTGACACATTTGCAATAACAATGGGCTTAAACATATCAATGATCATGAAGATTATACAGGACTGGGAAACATTTTGTTCTCTTATTAATAAAGTCACCATGAAGGAGTTAATTCATGGCATCTAACAAGAGCAAATGGCAGAGCAGTGTAGAGTATTAGGAGTATACAGAAAAGGGATAATTCATCGAAATAGAGTCAAACAAGGGAGCTCTGATGGCCTAGTCAGGAGAGATTTATGTTTTTAATGCAAAGATTACACTTTTCTGGCAGTTCACTAGTGGCTCCAAGGGCGAAAGATGGGCAGTCTCCTGTGCTACTGCTAGCCTCAGAAACTCAATAGAGAATCAACTATGAGTTTTGACTTAATTAGCAATGAGAGTGTAGCTCTACTAGACACGGAAGGTTCTGAAAGAGGTAGGTTTTACAGAATGATTAGGAGTTAACCAGAAATGTTAGAATTAGGGGATAGCATTCCAGATGGAAGGGCCAGTATTGACAGAGGTGAGTTATGCACAGCATCCAGGAGACTACTGCATGGGACACTGGATTGAATTAGAGGTGGCAGGAGACGTGTCACAGGAAGAGTCAGTGAGGTCAGACTCTGAAGGGTCTTTTATGTGGCAATGAGCTTAGACTTTACCCTGGAAACCACAAGATACTACTGAAGAAGTTTAACATCATCAGATTTGGATTTTAATAAAATCATGGTATGAAGAAAGGATATGGCAAGGAAGATACTGAGGCAGGGGGACTAGTAGAAAGGCTGTTATAGAAACATAGGATGCACAACTTAAACTGGGAGTGAGAGACTTGTCACACTGGACAGTGCATAATATCCAGTAAGTGTAGGAAGAAATTAGTATGATGTTTATGTTTATATTTGCTTCATTTTTCATAAAATACATTTTTTTATGTTTTACAGTATATATCCAAGACAGTACCTGGATTATTGAATGAGACCTGTTCCTAAGCATATCTTTATGTCAAAATTGTAGGTAAATGGAAATAGATGTTCACAGTTCTTATTTAGTCTTACTTTATGGGTGGAAAGGAGCCTTGATAGTGTAATGTGCTACAGGCTGAACAGTCAATCAAAGGTTGGTGGTTAATCCACCAGTCATTCCTTGGGAGAAAAATAAGTAAGGAGTTCCATGCCATAAAAAATGTATGGTCTCAAAATTCTGATGAAGAGTTTCTATGAGTGGCAAACAACTCAAGTCAGTGAGTTTGGGTTTTTGTGCAAGAAAAGGATGAAAGTCTTTTTTAAAAGTGTTTTCTAGGGAGAGAAGTGCAGCAATGAATGAATGGAAATCCAAAATCTCTGTAAATGTTCATTAAAATTATTTTAAACAAATTTTAGAAAAACCAACCAAAACCAAAAACAAACAAACAAACAAACAAAAAAGTGTTTTTTAAAAGCTACAAGTGCAGCCAGTGAAGGATGCTGAGATGAAGAATGTGTAGTATGGAAGAGTTGGTTCAGTAGTTTCAAAGTGAAGAAAAGTTTACATAATATTAAAGGTCAAGTACAAGTTAGATGTTAATTACCTGAGGACTTACTGTATTATATATTAATACAGCAATAAATAGATATAATTACTGTATTATATATTAATACAGCAATAAATAGACATAATAAATAAAAATTCATTTAACATGTATGCTATGTGTACTACATATTATGCTTAGGTACATGTACACAAAAGATGTACATACTCTTTTTTTTCATACTCACTTTTTAGAATGAGTGATTTTTAGATTACTCTGTTCAGTAATTCTTTTTTTAGATTACTGGTTTATGCAAATATATTAATTTTTGCATTAAAAATTAAGTTCATTTTTATTATAAAAGCAGCAACATTCACCCTGAGAATTTTGGAAACTAAGAAATAGGGGAAGAAAAGCACTGGAATCTTTCAAGATAGATACTTATCTTTTAAGGTTATAAAAATCATTACTAAATACTTGGAGAGTAAAGATTTAAAAGCCCCACCCAAAACAACTATGAGATATCATCTCACCCCAGTAAGAATAGCAAAATATAACAGAACAGCAAGCAACAAATGCTGGCGAGGATGTGGAGAAACTGGAACTCTTATTCACTGTTGGTGGGAATGTAAGATGGTGCAACCATTGTGGAAGGCGGTGTGGTGCTTTCTCAAAAAATTGCAAATAGAGATACCATTTGACCCAGCAATCCCATTACTGGGAATATACCCCAGAGAGACCATGTCTGCCATCCAAGCAGATATATGCACACCCATGTTTATTGCAGCTTTGTTTACAATAGCCAAGAGTTGGAAGCAGCCTAAGGGCCCATCAACAAACGAATGGACAGAGAAGCTGTGGTATATCCACACAATGGAATACTATGCAGCATTGAAAAACAAGGAATTCATGCAATATTATTCAAAGTGGGTGACCCTGGAGGACATTATGCTGAGTGAAATATCTCAGTCACAAAGGGACAAATACTGCATGGTGCCACTGTTGTAGAATGGGTCTGTCATCAGGGTGGGGGTATGACAGAAAAAACTGGATAAATTATGTATATTGTATTGAAACAGTTGAGGGAAAGAACAGATTAGAAGTGATATATGATTGAGTATTATGGTTAGCACAGGAATCCAGAATTAAGGTTGCATGTACTCGGGGTGGGGGGTGGGGGGAAGGGACGTGGGAATTGTATACTAATGAAGGAATATTTTTTTCTTTTTCTTTTTTCTCTCTTTGGAGGGGGAAGCAAGCTGGTGGGGAGGGGTGGGAAGGGAGAAAATTGCGGCAATGAATGAATGGAAATCCAAAACCTCTGTAAAAAAAAAATAAAAATAAAAATAAAAAGCCCCACCAACTCACTCAGTATGCCACTATTGACAGAATTTTTAGAGGGTGCCTCTTTTTTCTCCCTTTCCTTCTTTACAAAAGCATGCATACTCATGACAAAAACATTAAACATGAAAGGAATGCATAACACAAAAATCCCCTCTAATGTCAATTTCCAAAAAGAATGACTATTAAAATTTGGCCAATAACACAGGCATTATTTTTCTTATTTCTTTCCACAAAGATACAGTCAAAGAATACATACAATTATGTGTCCTGCCCTTTTTATATAGTGTATCTCTCTTTTCATATTGTAGTTTAGTGTCATGGAATTAAAGATTTTTAATGAAAGGGAATGCTTCTTGATTTTCTACATTAATATCTTAATGAGACACATGTGGATTGCTTATTTTTCTCTCTAAAGAATCCTGCCTGATGGAATAATGGTAATAACACCAGCAGGTCTGTGGTTTGAATCCATCACTGGCTCCAAAAGACAAAGCCAAGCAGTCTTCTCTTGTAAATTACAGCTTGGGAAACCTAATGGAGGATACTGACTTCCCCTGGCCCCTATTTTTACAGATAAAACCCCCCCAAAACTATTCTTTTTATCTGATGGGAGTTAATCACATTTCCAGTATTTACTTACCTGGGATATTCAATGGTGTACTTGGACAACTTTGCTCTTGTCTCATTGTCAATCAATTCTTCAAACTTTTCTTTCCTCACCCTTATTACCTCAGTTCCCAGGCTCACCAGGATCAGGGGTCGACTGTCATGTTGAGTTTCAGGGAAGGAGAGCTGGTGAAGGCCCTAAAAAAAGGAAGTCACTAAAAGTTAGATCTCAGAGACCATTCAGTTCAATTACTAGGTTTTCAGATGGGAAAAAATAAAGCCTCCAACAGGAAGTGAGTCCACCAGGGGCTACTTAGGCAAGCACATGAGAAGTCTACAGCCCATTTTTATTTTGCTACGTGACATGGGAATTCTCAGCTCCTTCAATTAGAAGAGTTCTTCTTAAGGGACTTGAACCACTATCCTACCTCCATATGGCAGGCTCTACTCCAGGAGTCTTCCTGGGACAGACACTTTGCAGAGAACAGCATTTTACAGACATATCCATATCCTAAGGCTGCTGCCAAAGTACCATAAAAATCAAAACAGAAATTTACTGTCTCAAAACTCTTGAGGTTTGAAGTCCAAATTCAAGGTTATTGATAGGGTCACACTCTCTGCAAAAATTCTATAGAAGGCTCCTTGTGTCTTTCCATTTCTGGTGGCTCCCTGGTAGGTTTTCTTGGCTTATGATCACATAACTCCAATCTCTGCCTCCACTGTCGTATGACTGTCTTCCTTTTGTGTCTGTATCTCTCCACAATCATATTGGGCTATAGTGCAAATACTTCAGAATGACCTCATGCTGACTAATTATATCTGTAAAGACCCTATATCCAACTTCAGCATATATTTATTTTGTGAAGTATCTTAGGCTAGGTTCTTAAGAAGCAAAACTAATAAAGCTCACACACACACACACACACACACACACACACACACACATCTTAAGGAAATGGCTCAAATGCTTAAAAGGCTAACAAATATTCATGGATCAGATGTCAAGATAAAGACTTCTTCTGATTTATGTAACCACAGGGACAGATAAATGCAAGATTGGAAGGTCAGATAGCAGGCTCTTGGCTTCCAAGGCTAATGAACTCTCAATCAATAGGCAACAATGGTAGGTTACTGACTCAAGGCCAAAAAAAACCTAGAAATCAGATGGTGATGAATCTGATGCAGCATTTAGATTGAGCAAGTGAGAAGTTAAGTTTTCCAGATGTTACACACACATGCACATACACCTCTGAAAGCCTGCTGGAGGTCAGCTATAAGTCAGTTCTGATTTTATGGTACTAAATAACAGAATATATGTATTCTGGTGGCTTACTGGCAAAGAGTTGTGCTGCCAATCTAAAGGCACATGGTTCAAATCCATCAGCTGCTATGAGGGAGAAAATGCCTCTGAAAACACACTGGAGGGTAAGCTACTAGTTAGTTCCAACTTGACGGCATAAAACAGCAGGTCACACTCCCATTGTATTCAAACAAAGCCAAGGTCATGCAAGCAAGGAGAATTGAATTTAACAAAAGTACATCATGGAGAAATCCACAAACATTTTCTTCAAAGAAGTCTCATCAATAAGTATTTGCTGAGGGGCCTTCTATGCTGCTGAACCTACGTGGTAAATGAGACAATCACGTCCTGTCTTTGAATAATCAATCAAAGGCTTCCAGCACTTTTCAGGTGCTAGAGAATCAAGTCCAAACTCCTATTCCAGCATTCTAGTTCCTCTACAACACAGTCCTGTAATTTCTGCTCTGCCCTACACAGCCTCCCACTGCTGTCACTAACTATCATTCCTTTCCAGGCCCTTTCCTTTATACCTCCTCTTTGCCCAGAGTGCCTGAGTACCCCAGTTCCTTCACCTTACAACATATGCAGCCGATGGGACTGCATGTCTGTCCTCAGGCACCTGCATTCAGTTCTGATCACCTCACACTGAGCAAAATATTGACAGACAGTGAGAAGGCTGGCAACTATTTAATATTAACAGTGACTGAAAGAGCAGAGGATGTTTTGCTTAAATAAGAAAATAATTAATGGAGCATTGGCATTGTGCCTGGCTCCCAAAGTGCTGAATGAAAGAGAAAAGCACATTCTTCAAATAGCTCAGAGCATCACATGACAAGGAAGCTGATTTCTTGTTTTGTTCTAGGAGGAGGGTAAGGAGGAAAGAAGAGAGCTACTTAAAAGTGCAGGTGGCAGTTAAAATTTAAAATTAGGAGAGCTCTGGTGGCCTGGTGGCAAGAAGCTGCACTGCAATCTCAGAGATACACGGTTCAAATCCACCAGATGCTCTGCTGGAGAAGGAGGAACAATCTCCTCCTGTATCAATCAGATCTGATTTGATGGTACACACAAAAAATAATGAAATAAAAAAAATTTTTTTTAAATATAAAAAAATTAAAAAAAAATTTAAAATTAACAGTCATGGAGTGAAGTCACAGACACTACAGGGCATAGAACTGCCCCACTGGGCTTCCAACGCTGTAAATCTTAACAACAGAAGATGACTCATCCTTCTCCAGCAGAGCATGTGACAACAGAACGGTATTGAACTAAAATGAAGACTTCTCAAGAGCTGGAAAACATCCAGTCAACACTGCAAAGGACATATGAGGGGGCTGAGGCTCTCTAGATGATCTTCCTTCCCCTGAAGTCACAGTCCAGTGTGGCAGGCACATTAACAACCCACCATATTCCAGAAGAAAGGTGTATGGAGAACTCTTGAAATAGATACTGTAACAGAGAAGAGTAGAAATGGCACTAGTGAGAGAGTAGGTCCCCAGATGCAAGATGACCTTATCAAAGTTATTTTTTAATTTAATAGGCTTTCTTTTTCAGAACAGTTTTAGTTTTGCAAAAAACTGAGAAAGATAGTACAGAACTTCCATATCCCCTACACCTCTTATTATTAGCATCATATAGTACTCTATTATTATGTTGTTGTTAAGTGCTGTCGAGTCATAGATGACTCATAGTGACCCTATGAACAAATTACTTGAACACTTGTATAACTTCATTGTTTGTCCAAGTTCATAGAGTTTCCGGAGGCAAGCTATTTCGGAAGTGGCTGCCACTCCTGCTTCCAAGCCTGTTTTAATCAGGGAGTTCCATCAAACACTGTCCACCATGGGTGACCATTATCACATTTGGCACATCAGTGTCACCGTGTTTAGCATCACAGCAACCACGAGTTACCTCTGTACAGCAAATGGACACACCAGTGCTATGCCACTTAGAAGAATGTTGAACCAAAAACAATTAAAACCAGGCCTGAGGGCCACAGACTAAAATCACCCACCTTTGGTTTTTTATCATAAGTTTCTATCCAGTAGGCCAACAGAGCTCTCTCTATGACTCTATTATGTGCTATATAATATATGTACATCATACATTAACATTATACTTTTATTATAATCAACAAAGTGACATTGCTAGATTATTTTTAGCTAAAGCTTATAGCTTCAGATTTCTTTTGTTGTTGTTGTATGCCATTGAGTTGGAGCTAACTCATAGCTGACCAACCAGCAGGTTTACAGAGGCTGTAAATATCGTGGAAGGAATTACCCATCTTCCTCCCGTGGAGCAAGTGGTGGACTCAGATCACCAGCCTCTGGGTTGGCAAAGCCACTCTTGACCCAGTAGGCTATCATGCTTCTTTCAGATTTCTTCACTTTTTACCTAATGTCTTCTTTTTATTGTAGGATCCCTCCCAAGATTCTTTTTTTCTTTTCTAGGATACCACATTGCATTTCGTTGTCTTATCTCCTTAAGCTCCTCTTGTCATAGTTTCTCAGATGTTCTCTATTTTGATGAACTGTGAAGAGTCTGGTCAGGTATTTAATAAGATGGTATTTAATAAAATAATAAAGCAATAAAGGTATTTAATAAAATAATTTTAATTTTTCCCATGATTGGACTGTTGTTTTTGTTGACTCCACCTCAATGTTATATATGTATCTGTATATGCATATCTGTATGTTTGTATGTAGTACATAATTTTTGTATGTACAAATCTACATACAACAGAATAAAACTGTGCCTAATCTCTCCTGTTTCAGCCCCATTGTTGTAGTCACCATGTCAATCCATCTCATTGAAGGTCTTCCTCTCCTTAATTGGTCCTCCTCTTGATAAGACCAGGGTCATTGATTATTGTTATCAGGAGGAAGACCACAGAAGTAAAGTGCCATTTTCATGACATCAGATCAAACTACATATTATCAATGTAATTTTTTATTATTGATCTTGTCATTGAACACCTGGCTGAGGGAGTGTTTGTCAGATTTCTGCACTGTAAATTTACTCTTTGTTTCTCCCTTTCCATACTGTAATCTTTAGGGAAAAAGTCACTACAAACAGTTGCGCCTCCTTTCTGAAGGCAGAATATCTATATAAATTATTTCAAATTTTTCTGCATGGGAATTTGTCTCTTCTCACCAACTTAGTAATTTATTAAAATATTTCTAATGAGATGGAATCATAGGTATTTTATACTTTGTGGATAAACCAATACTATTTTGTTCAAATTTGCTCCATTTTTGGCCACTAGGAGCTCTTTTCATTGCCTCCTTGTCATTCTTGCTCTCTCTCTCACACACACACATATTATTTATTCTGTTGTTGTTGCTGAGAATATATACAACAAAACATACAACAATTCAACAGTGTCTGCATATACCATTTAGTGACATTCATTATATTCTTCAAGTTGTGTAACTGTTCTCACCCTCCTTTTTGGAGTTGTTTCTCTCTCATTAACATAAATCTACTGCCCCCACCCCACCTAAAGGAACATATGTTCAAGGCAGACATTTTTCATTCACTCGCAGCCACCTAATTGTTTTGATCCATAGCTGACCTGGGTCAGCTGGTCTGTAAATAGCATGAAAGGAAACTGTCCATCTTTCTCCCAAGGAGTCAGTGATGGATAGAACTGCTGGAGACTCACAGCCTTGCAATACAACTCTCCACAGTTTACACCACCAGAGTTCTTCCACCCTTCTTTGGTTTTAAGAAAACATGTTGTTGTTGTTATGTGCCGTCGAGTCGTTTCCGAGTCGTAGTGACCCTATGCACAACAGCTCTAAACCCTGCTCTATCCTGCGCCAACCGCACCGCCTCTGACACACCCATCCCGATTACCC